GAAAATGATCCGAGGGCTGGAGCAGCTCTCTGATGAGGACAGACGTTGGGGTTGCTCAGTCTGAAGAAGAGAAGGCTCCAGGGAAACCTCATCGTGGCCTTTCAGTACCTGAAGGGGCTACAGGAAAGCTGGGGAAGGACTTTTTACAGGGGCTTGCAGGGAGATGACAAGGGGTAATGGTTGTAAACTGAAAGAAGAGAGATTTAGCTTAGAGATCAGGTGGAAATTCTTCAGTGTGAGGGTGGTGAGACACTGGAACAGGCTGCCCAGAGATGTTGTGGAGGCTCCATCCCTGGAGGTGTTGAAGGGCAGGGTGGATGGGGCTCTGAGCAGTCCTGCTCTAGTGGGAGGTGTCCCTGCCCATGCAGGGGGTTGGAACTCGATGATCTTTAAGGTCCCTTCCAACTCCAAACATGCTGTGATTCTTTGCTTGTGGGGAATTTGCAGCCCTGGGATGGGTCTGGAGCAGGGAATCACAGAGGTTTCCTGCCTTTGGGCAGTAACAGAGATGATACATCCTGATCAGGAACATCAGGGCATTAAATTCTGAATATCCTTAAAGCTCCTGCAAGCCCTGCTGGGGGTTTGGTCACTCCTTCCCCAGCCAACAGTTACCAGTTAGGAGGCTGCTGTCATTCTCCAAGGAACAGAACTAGGCTGAGGAGAACAAGAGGTGGGTGCACCAGGAGGTGCAGCAGTGGGTGCACAAGATGCCAGGAGCTTTGGGAGAGGCTTCAGACACACACTTGGTTGGAAAGGCATCTTACAGGATGCTTTTAGGAAAAGAGAAGCAGGACTTTTGGCAGAGCCTGGGTGGGAGGATCTGCCCAAGACAGACCTCACAGCAGGGCTGTGGGCTGGACAGATGAAGGGCAGCTGCTTCCTTAGAACCTCTTGCCAAGGGAGAGGGCAGCTGGAGGGATAAGGACAGGAAATCTCTCTCTCCAGGTTTGTATCCCATCCTGACCCATCCTTTGCAGAAGGCTCCAGGGTGTGGATGCAGTTTGTGTTATTCAGCTGCCACCCTGGTCCACCCCACAAGGCCAGAGGAAACCTGTCCCACTGCCTGCTCCTCTAAAGGAAAAGGCATCAAATCTGCTGAGCTCTCCAGTGTGTGTCAGTTCTGGTGCTTTTTGAGATCCTCAGGAGAGCACAATGTGCACCCAACCCCTGGCATAAAACAGGAGTGTGATCACCCACTTGGGTATGATTTAAACATCACCAGTGCCCAGTGTCTGCAGGTCCCCAGCAGCACCATCCCATCTTCAGCCCCTCTGGGATGTTATATCCCCTCTGTCTCACCCACACAAACCATTCCTCAGGGTATCCATTATAGCACTCTTGCCAGGAAGAAACTTGGTAGTTTTTCAACTATTTTCTCCATACTGTGACTCCCTTCCTGAATATCCACCCTCTTTTCCTCGTTTTGAGAATTTTCAGGGGAAAGGTCCTGCCCTTTGCTGGACCAGCAGTTCTCTATACAAATTGTTCCTGCCAGCAAAACTGATCTGAAGATAGATCCCATCAGCAGATCCTGGGGATGGAAGCACAGGACAGAGCCCAGTGGGATCCAGGTCTCATGTCTGGTTTTGCCCTGTCTCAGAGGTGCCTGGGAGGAGCAGACTCCCCAGCTGTAAATGGGATGTAGAAACAGAAAGTGCTGTAAAAAGCTTCTCACCATTCCTGGCACTTTGGGCAGCTCTCACCATGACCTGAGGCATCATCCTGGGTCATTTCCAGCCCCTCTGTTCCCATCAGTGACTCTGACTGACACAACTTCAGCTCAGGCCTTCGGAGCACGGATGGTCCTCACAGCTGGCAGGACCCCAGTGGCTTTCAGGAGGGTGAAACCACTGGGAAACTTCATTTCTGTGGCACAGGCTGATTTCCTGCCCCGGGAGGCCTCGGGGCTGACTCACAGCCTGCTTGGCCCCACCTGCCTTGGCCTCTCCCCACCCTCCCAAACCCTCCAGTGGGTTCCAAGCAGCCCATGTTCTCTGGGACAGCTGGGGAAAGGAAGGTCCAGGAGAAACATCTGTCTTCCTCTTGGCTTTTACTTTTTCCCTCCCTTTTTCTTCTTTTACTCTACTCCTCTCCTGCAAACTTCAGATTTGGTTTTTGGTTTGAACTGATGCTGTGTTAAAGAAACAGTTTTTCCTGCTCTGGTGTAGCAGAAACCAGATGCTCCAGTGTGTTGCCAAGTCCTTTCTCCTCTGTATTTTCTTCCTCCACTCCCAACAGGGGTTAAAAAAAACATGAAAAGGGAGGATAAAAACCCCCAAACCAACCAGTTTTCTGAGAATTGCTTCATCAGAATAACTGGCATTTAAGAAGTGTCCCTTATTGTTTGAAAAGTAATTTTTAGCATATATCTACAGATAGCTCCTGGAATCAGCTCGAGAGGACTTGGATCCTCAGTGCTGACACAGGTGGTGTCAACCTCACAGAGATGGGACACAGGTATTTGCAGCTCCTGCTCTGCTTTGTCCTAGGGCTGCCTGTCTCTCCAGGGAAGCACCATCAAGGAGGTGGCCAGCAACCCAGAGGAAGGAGGAAAATTTATCTTCGAAATCATCCCAGGTGAGGACACTTCACCCCTTGCAGACGTGTGGGCTGGGCTGTTCACCCACAACCATTTGGGCAAGTCATTTTCTTTTCAAGGTCCCCACGTGAAAAGGAATGTCCTGCTTTCAATACTCACACGTCAGGGCTGGGGCAGGGCCCCTGCCAGTGCCCACCTCCCTTGCTGAGGAGCCCTGTCGAGCTGCAGTGTTGAGCAGTTTCTGTTCCTTTCTTGCAGACCTTCAGCAAGGGTGAGATGCAAAAGTGCTGCTGCATTTTGCACCCAAACTGACACGATGGGGAAAGTTGGAGCCAAAAACATTTAGCAAAGAACAAGAATGTGCCTTTTCCCCTCCAATCCTCTCTATAAATGGTGCATAAATGTGTTTTTTTGCAGGGGTCTCTGGAGACCAGACCCGGGCAGGACAGGACACCTGTGTGCTCATGGCTAATTCCCAGTCTGAGATGGAGGAATGGGTTAAATCCATCCGACGAGTGGTGGGGGCATCTTCAGGAGGTAAAGGGCAGCAGGGAGAGCTCTTGGAGAGGCGATTTCTTCCCACCTGGTGCTTTGCAGCCCTTTGGTGCAAGGATTTCAAATCCGGGCCAATCAATCCTTGAAACTAGAGAAGGGAGCTGTCGTATCACTTGCAATGCCTTAGAAACCTTCTCCTAGACCAGAGCCTGTGGTGTCAGGTCTGCTGCAAACATGGGCAGTGCTAAGGAAACAGCATCCAGGCATGAAGGATTTCTGGGCTGGTTTCAACCTCTTTTGTGAACTTCCTCATTGACTTATTGACCCCAGAAGAAGTTGTTTTTGAAAACAACTCATTTTCAGGGATAAAGTCTTGAAGAATCTTGCCTTTCACCTGCCCATGTTCTTGCTTTGCTTTCTACCAGCTTTTTGTTTCTCAGCCCAGCCCTTCTGCACCTGTTTTCCCTGCAGAGTCTGCCTTGGCTATGCAGTCACCCTCCCCATGCCCAGGCAAGGCTTGAGGTGACAGGATCCTTGATCCCATTCCCATCAGAAATGTGGCCAGCAGGTTGAGGGAGGGGGTTCTGCCCCTCTTCTCTACACTCCTGAGACCCCACATGGAATATTGTGTCCAGTTCTGGAGCCCTCAACACAGGAAGGACATGGAGCTGTCGGAGAGAGTCCAGAGGGGCCACAAAGATGCTGGGAGGGCTGGAGCAGCTCTGTTCTGGAGCCAGGCTGGGAGAGTTGGGGTGTTCAGCCTGGAGAAGAGAAGGCTCCAGGGAGACCTTAGAGCACCTTCCAATACCTAAAGGCAGCCTACAGGAAACCTGGGGAGGGACTTTTCACCAGAGAGTGTAGTGACAGAACAAGGGGTAATGGTTTTAAGCTGGAAGAGGGATATTTAGGTTAGAGATCAGGAAAAAGTTGTTTCCTCTGAGGGTGGTGAGAGCCTGGCCCAGGTTGGGCAGGGAAGCTGTGGCTGCCCCATCCCTGGGGGTGTTGAAGGGCAGGTTGGATGGGGCTTGGAGCAGCCTGGGCTGGTGGGAGGTGTCCCTGCCCATGCAGGGGTGGGACTGGATGATCTTGAAGGTCCCTTCCAACCCAAACCATGCCATGATTCTGACCTTCTAACCTCCCGCTCCTCTCCCCAGCCGTGTTTGGCCAGCGCTTGGCAGAGACCATGGCTCATGAGCAGAAATTTGGGCAGCACCAGGTGCCCATCCTGGTGCAGAAGAGTGCTGAGTTTATCCGGGAGCACGGTGTGAGTGAGGAGGGCATCTTTCGCCTGCCTGGCCAGGACAACCTGGTGAAGCAGCTCAGGGATGCCTTCGATGCTGGGGAAAGGCCTTCGTTTGACAGGTAACACTGGATTCCCCCCCTCCTGCTCAACTAGGTCTCATCTACCCTAAAATCTGGGGCAAAGCAGCCTCTCTAACCCTGTCCCCCCCAGAGAGCCCAGCAATACCCTGCAAGAAACTTGGAACCTCCAGAAGGGTTTGACATGGAGAGAGGATTCAGCAGAAAGCTCAAATGGAGGCAAAAGCAGAATCAGAGGGTGCTGAGATGAGATTCATGGAAATAATGGCTGGACATTAGGAAAAAGTTCTTTAGTGTGAGGGTGGTGAGAGCCTGGCCCAGGTTGCCCAGGGAAGCTGTGGCTGCCCCATCCCTGGGGGTGTTGAAGGGCAGGTTGGATGGGGCTTGGAGCAGCCTGGGCTGGTGGGAGGTGTCCCTGCCCATGCAGGGGGTTGGGACTGGATGATCCTTAAGGTCCCTTCCAACCCAAACCATTCTATGATTCTATGATAAAGGAAAGCATTTAGGAAAATCCTGCCCCCTCACAGTCATTATCAGCTGCAGGAGCAGCCAAGGAAGGAGGCAAAGGCAAGACCCTACAAAGCCCATTAGCTAAGGGCAGAGGTTTAGAGAAAGGAGAGCACATAGTGGGTCAGAAACAAGCTCAGACAACACCTCATGCACACAGGAGAAGTTATTTCTTTCCCTGCCAGCCCATAGCCGTGGTATTTTCCTCATGTTGCTTTTCCCTGAGGGTGGTGAGAGCCTGGCCCAGGTTGCCCAGGGAAGCTGTGGCTGCCCCATCCCTGGGGGTGTTGAAGGGCAGGTTGGATGGGGCTTGGAGCAGCCTGGGCTGGTGGGAGGTGTCCCTGCCCATGCAGGGGGTTGGGACTGGATGATCCTTAAGGTCCCTTCCAACCCAAACCATTCTATGATTCTATGATAAAGGAAAGCATTTAGGAAAATCCTGCCCCCTCACAGTCATTATCAGCTGCAGGAGCAGCCAAGGAAGGAGGCAAAGGCAAGACCCTACAAAGCCCATTAGCTAAGGGCAGAGGTTTAGAGAAAGGAGAGCACATAGTGGGTCAGAAACAAGCTCAGACAACACCTCATGCACACAGGAGAAGTTATTTCTTTCCCTGCCAGCCCATGGCCGTGGTATTTTCCTCATGTTGCTTTGCCCTACAACATCATATAGAGGTGAGAGAGAGATTCTGGCTTCTGCAAGGCTGACCCCCTTTCTCTGAAGGGCCGAGGAAATGACCAACTCCCTAAAGCTGAGAGCTGCCTGTCCCTGCTGGTAGGTCTCAGGGGGGCTTTGGAGAGGGACATTTGCCACTGGAACCTCTGCCATGCCCTGCGCAAAATGAGAGAAGAAAGGTAAAAAACCCTGATGCACCTTGGCTGGTGCTGCAGCTCAATATTTTTTGCTTTCTGGGTGCCAGAGCCCTGCTGAGAGCTTTCCTGCTGTAACCTGCACAAGGGTCAGAGGAAGCTGAAGCCTTTTCTTGTTTGCTTTCCAGAACAGGGTTTTGCAGCAGGGCATGGTGAGGGAGTTTGGCCCTTTTCCCAGCACTCTGTGGTGTTACCCTGTGCTGCAGGGTTTGGTATGACCATTGTTGTGGTGATCTCAGGGTGGTGACTGCAACTCCCACGCACAACAATGCATTATTAGCAAGGAAGAATGCAAATAATAATGGGGTTTCCAGTGACCTGAACACTGCAAGATGCTGGTTCAACCTTCAGTGCCACCTTCACAGCCTGTTTGGGTTTGCACAGGCATCCCTTGTGTACACAAGCATGGCAGGATTGAGTGGGGAGCATTAGGAAGCTGCTGTTGCAGCCCAGGCATCCAGACTGGCCAATGGTGTGATTGGTAGGCCCTACAAAAACACAGCTCTGAAAAAAATTCCTTTGTGGCTCTGCACATTTGTTAAAAATAATAGTATTTTAAAAATCCCAACCGATCCTAAAAATAAATGACCTGGGGGATTGTTTTGCTAGAAGGTTACAACAGTTTAGCAACTTCAAGGTAGGTCAAATTAGAGGCTTATGATCTTGACAGTGTCCTTCTGACATAATGTAAACTACATGGTATGCAAAGCTGCAAACATCTGTCCCAGCAGAACATCTTCAGTAATTGCTGTTAATCTTCAGAACCCCAGGAAAGCTTTGCCAGCAGAGTGGGAGTCCCTGCCAAACATGGGAACACCAGACAGTATTTGCATACAAACCCTCAGGAGTCACACGCAGGCTGGGAAGGCTCAGCCTGGGTATGAACACTGGGATCCTGCCCACCTCATGGTGGGGAAAATCTCCACCAAGAATTTGTTTCCCTGCCAGCTGGGGCTGTTCCCTGGCTCGTGGTGTCCTGTGGAAACCCCAAGCTTGCTTTGGCCTTATTTATCCTTCTCTGTCTCCTGCATCTCTACACAGAGCTTGAATCACAGAACCACAGAATCATTCTGGTAGGAAAAGACCTTTAAGATCATCAAATCCAACCACCACCCAGTTCTACCAACCATTAACCCAACTCTACCAAGTCCAGTGCATGTCCCTACCATGGGGCAGTGAGACAGTGAGACAGACAGTGCATGTGTCTACCATGTCCCTCAGCACCACATCTGCAAGCCTCTCAAACCCCTCCTGGGATGGGGATTCAACCACCTCCCTGGGCAGCCTGTGCCACATTCCCCTTTCAGTGCAGGAATTCTTTCAAACATCTAATCTAAACCTCTCCTGGCCCAACTTGAGCCCATTTCCCCTTGTTCTGTCACTCCTTACCTGGGGGAAGAGACCAACCCTCACCTTGCTACAACCTCCTGTAGGGTTTGCTCCCCCCTGGGTGCCAGTTTGGGGTGAGTGGCTCGTGGCTCTTGCAGGGACACAGACGTGCACACCGTGGCCTCTCTGCTCAAGCTCTACCTGCGGGAGCTCCCCGAGCCCGTCGTGCCCTGGATGCAGTACGAGGATTTCCTGCTGTGTGGCCAGACCCTGGATGCAGATGAGAGAAAGGTAGAGACTCATTTCACTCCTCTTGGCCTCCAGACAAGCTGAGTGGTGAGGGCTTTGGGAGCTGGAGGTGCAGGGTGCAGACACAGCTGTGCACTGTGAGCTGTATGCTTACTGAGCTTTGAAATCTGGAAAAATATATATATATATAATTACAAAGATAAAATCTCACAAAGCCACTGAGGTTTCCCAACTTGACAACATGGGCTTGATCCATTTTAAAGCTTAAATTTCTGGAGGAGATCTAAGAGCTGCTCAGCACCTCTTTTCGTTGAGGCCTTGCAGCAAACAGAGAGTGTGAAAACCAAGAGAGGAAGGAAACAGCCTCCTGCAGCCTCCATCAGCCTGAGCTGGCAGCAGAGCTGGTGGAGGGCTTGGGTGTGAGCAAGGAAGGAAGTGGGGATTTGGGAGAGGAAGAAGTGAGAAACAGGAACTGCCTTTTCCTAACTATATATTTTGGTGGAAAAGAAACACCCCCATTGCAGAAAAGAAAACCAACCCAGTCATGGATGCAGTTCCTATCCACACAAAAAGAAAGCAGATACCCTGGGTAGCATGAGCTCTGTGAGCTGCAGGATTCAGCCCTGTATTTCAAGGGCAAATGTTTCTTGTAGGTTATTTCACTTCAGGATCTTTGGGGTTAAAAGTGTCCTAAGTGTTTGTAGACAAGAAATGCAAGATAAGGCATGATCAGCCCTTTCAAAGAGCTCATCACAGGGTCTCTGCTCCTTCCTGGGCAATGGGCAATGAGCTGCTTCTTCTTGCTCTTCTTGTGCAAACACTTCCCCATGTCCACGCTTGGTCTCCCAGAGAAATGTAATTTCCATGGCAAGCAAATGCTAAAAGGTGAGACCCTACAGGGATGGATGGAGTGACCAAGAGCCACTCCTGAGCCAGTATGTATCTGTCCATATTTATAGAGCTGATTCTTAACTTGCATTTAGGGCCATCAGGAGCTCCTGAAGCAACTGTCCCTTCTTCCCAGAGACAACTACAACCTCCTCAGCTATATCTGCAGGTCAGTCCTCTGCACAAGTCATAAACAGCTCAGATTTGGTGTTGCTGAGTAGAAATATCATCCTGAAGGCTGAGGCTGACTCCTCTAGAGAAAGAGGAGTCTTACATCTCTTACAAGATGTTGTGGTTCTCCTCGAGGCACCAGGTCCTGACTCTTGTAAGGGGACAGTTTCAGCCACAGGGATAATCACCTTGACAATGCCAGGGCAAAAAAGGCTGCCCTAAAACTCACTTCTGAATCCCTGAGAATTAAAATCAAGTCTAGTTTTTCTAGACAAAGCCTTGTGCAACAGAACTGTTTGGTCTCACCCAGCCTGGGTGGTTTTTCCTCTGGTTATTAAACATTAAATGGGGGGTTTCCCTTTCTTTTTGGGTGAGCAGCTCATCACATGGTATCTTTTCTATTAGTAAGGCTCTGCTCCAGTTTGTTGCAATTAACTGGTTCTGTCCTCAGAGGAAGAGCTGGATGGATTAATCAGGATTTTACACCAGTGGCTGTGTAAGGCTTTTTGCAGTCCTCCTTCTCTGACTTGAAATATTTGCCCTTGGATTCTGGCAGGTTTCTACACGAAATACAGTTGAACTCTAGTGTCAACAAGATGAGTGTGGATAACCTGGCAACAGTGATTGGAGTCAACCTCATCAGACCCAAGATAGAGGATCCTGCAATTATTATGAGAGGTAAAAAGGACTCCTGGAATAATTGGCATACAAGCAGCTGACATGCTGAAATACTCAGTTGCATCCACAGTCTTGGAATGAAAAAGTTTCTACTGTAGGCCCATGGATATAAGCCAGACATGCCTGGGAACAGCAAGCACAGCAGGGAGAATAAAACCACATTTAAAATGTATTTATGGTGACAAAAAGCCCTTAGGAGTTGCACTGTGTGTTCCCTCCATAGATTTCAAACAATCCAGGAATTTGGTGAAGTCATCTTTCTTTTCCTTGGAGCAGAAACGTGTCAAATTCTTCCTAGAGAAAAAAAGGCAGGTCAAGTTCCTGTTTAGCTGAGCCAAACTGTAATCCAGTGGGCAAAGACAGATGCAGCAGAACTAACAGAAGAAATATTTTCAGACCAAAGATTGCTCTACTCTACAAACATCCCAGGAAAATGGACCAGATGTTCATATTCCTGTCCATGTAACTGATTTTTTGCAGTTTGCTTGTTGAGCCAAAGCAGCACAATTTGTGGCTTGGTGCAGCTGGACAGACTCCTGTACTGGCTGCTCCACAGCCAACTCCTGCTGTTCTGGAGTGACATACATGGTTTTGTGATCGTGCTCCTTGTCTTCACCTGCATCTCTGTGTGCATCTCCATTGTGGACACCACAAAAACTAGGCAGAGAAACCAACCAGAAAATGCAGGTGTGGGTGGAAGGAAGCCTTGGCCTTGCCTCTGACAAATCTCTGTTTGCTTCCAGGCACGCCACAGATCCAGAAGGTGATGACTGTGATGATAAGTGACCATGCAAACCTCTTCCCCCCATCCAAGGATGTGCCACCCTCCCCACCTGCTCAAAAAGATGACAAGAAAGCCCCCATCCCACGCAGCTCCGTGGGCTGGGACACTGCAGAGGACCCTGTGGTGCCCAGGGCAGACAGCTCAATCCAAAGGCAAATGGTAAAGCTACAGATAATAAAACAAAAGCTTTATAAAGGTGTGATTAATTCTGATGGGTTTAACAGGCCAGTGAGCCACTAGGAGCACTTGCTATTAATAGGGTAAAGAGCCATAACTGTCATCCCTGGAATATCTGCATCAGGAAAATGATATAGAGAAATTTTCCATTTTCCTGTGGAAAATCTAGTGCTCTGGGAAAAAGGAAAACTTCTACAGTTTTTTAGCTAAAAGGCAGAATAGATTAAGCCTTTTCAGTTCATGTTGGTGAGGTGAAAACAATGAGGATTAAAGGCTTTTTTCAGATAGAAAGAATCTCTGCAAAAAGTCCTTTTTCATGGAAAACATGGTGCAAACCCAACTGGTTTTTCATGAAAAACTTGTGGCCATTCCTGTTAGCGTGTTAAAAAGTTCTGATTGCAGTCAGAGCAGTCACAGCAACCCAGAGCAGGACCAGGCTGCCCTAATGCCCCAGGTCTCTTTTCCAGAGAGACGACCCAAGTTCCAGCAGTGCCCCCGGACCAGCTGCCAGCTCAGCTGCACCCAGGGAAGATAACGGCTCCAAACACACCCCGGGAGCGTGGAAAACACAGGCAAGGAAAAGAACCCAGACTTTACCTAACAGGAAATCCTTCCTGACACCTGCTCCTCTGGGGGAGAAAGGCAGCAAGGACAGAAATGGCATCTTTGCCAGTGACTTTTGGAAGAGCTCCCCGGGGAGCAGCGCGGGCCCCGAGGGGCACAAGAGAACCTTGTCCCATGATCTGTTTAAGCTGCTCGACCTTCACCGGGCTCCCACCCACGAGAACGTTCCCACCCCCCAGGCAGAAAGTGGGGAAGGCAGCTCCAGCCCCTCCAGCAGCAGCTCTGATAAGGAGTTTCTACCCTGCCCCAGTCCCAGCCATCAGCCAAAGGAAAGTGCCAGTCCCACCAGCAGCCCTGCCGAGGTCTCCAAGCCTGATCAGGAGAGCAGGGAGTTCCTGCAAAACATGATCCTGAAGCTGGAGAAGGAAATGGAGGCACAGAAAAATGACTACGAGGAGCAAATTAAAAGGTAACACACTGCAGGGTGCTGCTCTGGGGGGCGTGAAGCTTTAGCTCCTTGGTTTTACACCACTAGCATTGCACAGATTTGTTTAATACTAATAGTACAGGATAGAATGATGACTAAAGATAAAATATAGTATTTTAGTAGGCTATCTAAAAGTCAAGGCTCATGTGCTGTACTGCCATGACCGTTGCTAATGTCATATTGCTACAATATTAATACTCTATAGTTCTTACTGCATAATTTTAGAATGTTTCTGCAATTATCAGAGCCATAATTCTTGCTATCACTGCAATATTGTACCATTATACTATCCACAATTCTGCAGTTGCCTTGTTGCATTATTAGTTGTAACCATCAGTGTTGCAACAGCTTCACACATTGTGATCATATTATCATATATATAGTAAATATAAAATAATAAATATTTTATATTATATTAACTAATATTAAATTTAGTTATTAATATTCATATAAATAACATGAAATTAAACTATGACATTAAAATTAAATATAATATTAAATAGTAATTATAAATATTATATTCTATTATCTATTTCTTGCACCATGTTATGTGACCTTTGAGTGTCAGGGGATCAGGGCAGAACCTCTGGCTAATTTTGATTCTTAATGACACAGAGGGCAGACTCCTTGAGAGCCAAACAATGACCTCCCAGCATCTCTTCTGATCCAATCTTTTCATGCTCCATTTCTCTTTGCAGTCTTGAGAAGGAAAACTATGAAGTCTGGGCCAAAGTGGTGAGGCTGAATCAAGACATCGAGAGGGAGAAGAAGAAGTCTGAGGAACTGGAGCTGAAGCTGCTGAATCTGGAGCGCTCACGGGAGGACACGGAGAAGAAAAACAAGATGCTTGAGGAGGAGATAAGAAACTTATCTAAATCCACGAGCAAAACTGATGCCAAAACCAACTAGGAGAAGACACTCAGCTGTGCACAGACGTAAAGTGCAGCAGCATGAATGCACAGGGATTGCCAAGCAGGATCAGAGCCAGGGCCTTGTATTGTCCCATGTTCTGCTACCAACCGTGGGCTGGTTTGGAGGAAGGAGCCCAGGAGTTAGAGGCTGGTTTATGCTGTGAAACAGCAAATATCCAGAATATTATTTAGCTTTTTTTTGGGGGGGTTTCACCTCCAGCTGCTCAAGTTACCTGTAGAACAGGCCAATACTCTTTGCTGCTCAATCAGAATATCTTGCACTCAGAAGATCAGTTTAAGGACACATTATGCCTTGACAAGAACAAACCAGCAAGCATCCCTCCTGCCAGCCTGCTGGCTCCTTGCTGCAGACACCCACAGTGCTTCTGAGTGGAACAGAAAGTCCATAATCTTGGGTCTGGGGAGACAGACCAGCCCCAAGGTCTGGGGTGGCACAGCCCATCACACAGTGTGCCTAGGCTGAGATGCTCCATCCACACATGCAGCTGCTGATTGCTCTCCCAAAGCACAAGGAGCCTGGACAGCCCATGAGGTCCACTGGGAACAGCTCTCATGCAGCATCATTCAGAATCACTGGTATCAAGGCTCCAGGTATAAAATGACAGTGTCACAAATACCTCTTCAGTTAAGTGGCTGTTCAGTTATTTTAAATCACTGTTCCTTGCAACCGTGTGCACAGAACTCCAGCCCAGCTGCTGACAAGGCTTTGGGGAGCACCTTCACTTACCCACACTCAGAGCTCTTTGTGCAGAGTCCAGCAGCAACTTCATCTGGTACAGAAAAAGAGGCTTCTGCATTTTTCATGGTGGACAGTCTTCAAAGAATCACAGATCTGGAGTTATTTACTGCCTCCACTTGTGTTTTACATCATTTCATCAGGGTAGAACAGGATTTCCTCAGCCACCTTGCTGGAAACCTGGGTTTGCACCCCAACAATGAGGTGGGTCTCTCCCTGTCACCTGCTGCCATCAGTAACTGACTGGACCTGAAGGTCTCAAGGTGCCAGTGTGGCTGTTTGTAAACTTCTCTGCCTGTTTTCCCTCTGCCTGCCAGCAAGTTGCCCTCCCAGCAAGTCGCCCTCCCAGCAGTACCATGATGCTGCTGAAGCTTTTGGTGTAGGAAAGAAAATAGCAGGACTCTGCAAGAAAAACCTTTCACTCCTCATTTACATGAAGAAGGTGGAACAACACCACACAGGCTCAGCCCAGCCCAGAGCCTTCATGGGAACAGAAAAGGGAAAGCCACAGGGATCTGCAGGAGTTTTCCACAAGATGTCTAGGACCAAACATATGTCTCTGTGCCAAGTTCATGCCATGACACTGGATTACTCCTACCAGGGACTTGGCTTTGGTGATACAAAGGTTCAGCTCAAGACAAGCTGCAGACCTGCTTGGCAGAGCCTGCAGAGAAAACCCAACTGGTGAGAGAAAGGGTCACAGAGAAAACTGTGGGGAAAAAAGGGAGATTGGAGTGGGGTAATGTTATCAGAGAATAAAAGTCACTGTTAGGTATATGGCACTTGCTGCTATTTGCCTTCCTCAGGGGTATTTTTCTAGCCCTGCAACTGAGCTCAGATTCCTTAGTCTCAGACTTTGATTCAGTCTGGGGCATTGAATCTGTCTTTGCTCAGCTGGGGATATAAAGGAGACGCCTGTGAAACTTGAGCTGCAGTTAAGAATCTGACCCATAGACCTAGAGGCTCTGGCTGCAGGTGGTTTTCCTTTCCATAGGATCCCCAGAGACTACACAGCTTCTCACTGTTCTGCCCACAAACCTTCACACCAGGGAATTAATTTTTTTGGAGTCTTGCATGGGGTTACTACATGGGGCTACTTTAGCAGCTCAGTGCCTTCCAGAAGTCCTCTCCTCCTACAATGATCAAATCTGATTTAAATATTTCAAATCTGATTAAAAAGTTTCAAATCTGAAACTTGGTAATTTAAAATCTCAGTGAGGAACACATTGGACCAGTGGGTCTGGACCTGCTGGTGCAAAGCTCCACAGCCCTCAGCCTTGCAGAGGGATGGACATTACAGAGAAGAGCCTCAGGACACTGTGGCCTCCACCAGGCTTAACCACCTTTGAAGCTGAGCTATCCAAACCTCACCTTCCCCATCACCTCCATGTTCCACGTGCTATGTCATCCTGGGATTACACACTTCTTGTGTCCTGAAATCTCTTTCAAGCACCACTAACACCATTGGTGCTGCAAGTCCAAGTTCCCACCTTGCACCTTCAGGACCCTCATCTTCCCAACACCCAAATCGAGAGGTTTCCAGAGTTCCTGTGAGATGCTCTTTGCTTGCCAACATTTCAGAGCAACTGTTGCCATTCACATTTCTTTTCTGTGATTCCAGATGACCTTGACAGAGCTGCTGTTGGGTTTATTTAATTTTTTTTATATTTACAAGGAGCCCATAACTCACCTGGGCATGAGGCTCAGGAGTTGTTTTAGGGAGAAACTTCTCCCGTGGGTCTAGGAGAAGCGTTGTGAAATGGGCTGGAAATGCCACATGCTCCTTTCTGCAAAGATCAAAAGTGTGAATTTAAATAACTCCTTCCCAGCCCACAGCAGGCACTGATGACGTGGAAAGGCTTGGCTGGGGCTCAGAAGTCTCCACCACGAGGACAAGTGCACGTTGGTTTAGTATAAACTGCACATTCCTCCACTTCCGCTGCAAAACAACCTCTATCAAAGCAGGACTGCTTCTCAAGAGCAGAGCCACTTCTTTGAAGATATTCGGCCTATTAAATTGGGGAGTGTTTATAATGGTCATATTTAAAAGATAAGCCTTGGCAATCGAGGTCAGGTGGGCTGGAAATTGCAGTGCATGGGGCAGGGGGGTTAACAGCCACAGGGAGCCACATGGCATCTCATGAGCTGTAAGATAAGGGGCTGGAAGATAAGGAGGGTTTTCCCTTTTTAAAAAGAGATGGAAAAGCATGACCCATGCCAGACCTGTGGAAACTTTGTGTCCTTTTTAGACCCAAGGGGTAATAAATACCCTCTTGGCTCAGCCACACAAAGCCCAGAATACTGACAGTGCCCAAATCCACCTCTGGATTTAATGCACTTTCAGATCTTTTTTTGGAGACACCAGAATATGAGACCCCCCAAAACTGACTGGTGCACAACCTACATTTCCTTCCCCTATTTTTGCAGCCAAGCTTTTTTGGGAAGGAGCAGCAAGAAAGCCTCTCCTGCTCCTGAAGCAGGGGCTGCTCTTGCTCAGTGCTGCAAGGGGCATCATCAACTCACAGAGGGTTGGTCTGGTGGCTGCTTTTCAGCTCAGCAGACTTCAGGCATTGATTCTGGATAACCCAGAAGTGTGGAATTACTACCATCATATAAAAGTACAACACAGTTTATCACAGAGAATAAAGAATAAAGCCTGTAGAAAGATCCTTTTCAACCCTGTCCTGGGCACTTTTGACTCAGAAACTGCCAAAAGGGCATTTTTTCCACCCCCCTTAACCTCACACTGCACAGCCAAAGGACACAAGAGCATCCCCTTCAAGGTGACACGAGTGTAGGATAACCCACAAGACATACTAAAGATTTTCCTTTCCCTTTAAATTGCTTTCCAGATTGGAGCAATTAAACCCACAGCTCTGAATGCACCTAAAGCTGTTAAATCATGCATTATGGGGTGAAAATATGGCATCTTCTAGGATACAATGTCAGTCCTGCTCTTCCTGCCTAGCTTTCTTTGCATTAGAGCAAAACACCTGTTCCTATTTTGTTCCTCTTAGGTGTTTACTGCCTTCATTTAGGAATTCACTTCATTGTATCCAGGCACTTGATAGGCATCCCACATTATTCTCTTTGGATCCCAAGCCAGTCACACTTATGATAACTGATGCCCTCCCATTTTATCAAAGTTGCACTTTTTGGCATGATAGTAACTTTCCTTTTTTAGCTTGGCTACTGCATAAAATAACAATTTGTTGAGGGAGGGGAGGGGGACGTGCAGGAAAAGTATCCAGCCATTATTTAGGATGGCTTATACAAAGGGAAAAGCAGTGAGAACATGCTGTTCTTCCCAGGAATGACAGAGTAATGCAATCCATCCTTCCTTTACATGAGAGCTGAAAGATACCCTCAAAACAGGCTGTTTCTAAGAAGAAAAGGCTGCCAAATTGAGACTTCATGTATGAATAATTGTTCACCAAGGTGTGGAGAAAATAAAAGTCCTCAGACTTTCAGCCCATGCTGGAAGCAGCCCCACTGGTCCCCTTTCTCTGTGTTTTCCTGCCACCTTGCTGCAGCACAGGGATGTTACCAGGCAGCCAAACTGGCCTGGAGGGAAAATAACCTGGTAAAAAAGGAGCATCCTGATAAAGTGGGGGCTGACAGGAGGAAGCAGCCAGGGTAGCAGGGACAGGAGCTGCCTGAATAAAAGCCTCCTTTGGAGAAAGTGCTCATCTTTTCTAGCACAAAATACCTGCAAGTTTAGGCCTTCCAGTATCTGAAGGGGCACCAGGAAAGGTAGGATGGGACTTTTTACAAGATACTGTAGTAAGAGGACATGGGGTAATGTATTAAAACTGGAAGAGGGAGATTTAGGTTAGAGATCAGGAGGAAATTCTTTGCCATGGGGTGGTGAGAGCCTGGCCCAGGTTGCCCAGGGAAGCTGTGGCTGCCCCATCCCTGGGGGTGTTGAAGGGCAGGTTGGATGGGGCTTGGAGCAACCTTGGCTGGTGGGAGGTGTCCCTGCCCATGCAGGGGTGGGACTGGATGATCTGTAAGGTCCCTTCCAATCCAAACCATCCCATGATGCTATGAATTCTGATAAATGCCCTGAGCACTTGTATGGTGACCAGTGCACAGAGGCTCCAGCTGGGACAGCTTCTTCCTTTGATAATTCCCATTGCCAACAGCTCACTGCATGCATGGTCTCCACCAAGAATAGTTTACCCTTCTACCTGTTTCCCTTTACAAGAGCTTTCTCAGTAGGTGGTTCCCACAAACAGAAG